GAGAGAGAGAGAGAGAGAGAGAGAGAGAGAGAGAGAGAGAGATTTTTTTTTTCGGGGAAAAATGCATTAACGCACACGCTCGGGTTTGGAACTTCCCAGAGAGTAGTGCCCGACTCGGTCTGGTCTCGATGGTGACGACCACGACCTGCCAAGGTTGGTGAGACCTGGCTTGGTTTAGCTCGGCGTATGTGCAACTAATACGGACTAAAAACATACCCCTGACACCTGCCTCCTATTTCCCCGTGGAACCGCCGCTAGGCATTCCAGCACGGGGGAGGGTTTAGCCGTAGCTCTTCCTTCGGCCGTTCGAAGCCAGCGCTTCTTCCATCTCATTTCTTTCTCTTCCTCTTATTTCTGCTCCTTTCTTGCTCCGCCTTGCGTAGGTCTTTTAGGACTTCCGCTGCGAAGGCGCTGGTTGCATCCCAGGCTGCCTCTGATGAAAGCATTGCTTTCACCAGATTTCCAGCCTGAATGCTCTCTCGGAGTATAGTCTCAAGTGTACTGCGGGGCCCGCTGAAGCGCGGACACACGCAGAACGCATGCTCCACATCTTCGGAGACTCCTGTGCAGGCCGGGCACTCCGGCGATTCCTCATATTTGAACCTATGAAGATATTGCCGGAAGCACCCGTGTCCTGACAGCATCTGTGTGAGTTAGTAATTGACTTCTCCGTGTGTTCGTTTGACCCATACATCCAATTTCGGGATCAGGCGGTGAGTCCATCTCCCATTGGTCGAGACATCCCACAGCAACTTCCATCGATGCAGACTGTTGTTCCTCTCATCCATCCTCAGCTCAGCTGAACTCAGCATTGTTGAACTTTTTCGCCAATAAAGACAACGTCGTTCCTCGGCGAGTACTCCTATCGGCAGCATCCCGACGATGACACAGACGGCATCTTCTGATACCGTGCGAAATGCTCTGGCAACTCTAAGGGTACTCAATCGATAAACTGACGCCACCTTCCGTCGTGCATGCTGGATCAAGTGTACGTCAGCCCAAATGGAAATGCCATATGTAATGACCGACGTGACAACTGATAACAGCAACGCTCTTCTCTTCTGCTTTGGCCCTTAAACGTTCCGCATTAGTCATGAAAGGACAGTCCCAACTCCAGACGCCTTCGCGCCGACGTACTCCGTCTGCTGCTTGAAGCTGATTCGAGCATCTATCATCACTCCCAGGTATCTTAGCGATGGTTGGAAGGTGATGTGATTCCCGACATGCAGCGTGATGGTTTCGATCTTTTGTCGGCTCGTGATAAGCACAGCCTCCGTCTTATGTTCTGCCAGCATCAGTCCCACTGAGTCCATCCATTCACGAATTCTGTCATATGCAATATCGAAAATATAATTGATCTCCTCCAGGCGTTTTGCAACGATTACCAGAGCTACATCATCCGCAAATGCGACGAGTGTAGCCTCCTTGGGTAACGCTATTTTCAGAAGACCGTCGTACATAACGTTCCACAAGAGAGGGCCAAGCACCGAGTCCTGGGGAATGCCACCAGTGACTCTGTACTCTTTTGGGCCAGCGTCTGTATCATATTTCAGGACTCTGTCTGTGAAGTAGCTTCGCACCATACTCCGCAGATATCCTGGTACATTCAGCTTTGAGAGGGTCTCCATGATATTGTCCCATCCGGCGGAGTTGAAGGCATTTTTGATGTCCAACGTTACCACTAAACAGTACTACTTCGCGCCCCATTTCCACCTCGCGCCAGAGATTGCGCCCCGTGCAATGGAGACGACTAGGTTGATGGCATCGAGCGTGGAACTACCTCTACGAAAACCGTATTAGTTTCCAGCCAATTGTGGTTCCACCACTTCCTCGATCCTCTGATGGAGTATGCGCTCCAGTATTTTTCCGGCTGTGTCCAGCATGCAGAGTGGACGATAGGACGAGGGCTCGTACGGTGGCTTCTTACCTTTCGGAAGGAGCACCAGTCTCTATTGCTTCCACTTGGTTGCAAATATCCCCTCCTGAAGACATGCATTATAGACACCCAGGAAGGCTTCTGTCGATACGTTGATTACCACTTCCAGGGCGGCATTCGGGATGCCATCCATTCATGGTGCCTTGGCATTCCCGAATCTGCCACTAGCTTCCAGTAGCTGCTCAAGTGTCACTGGTGGGATCGTCTCTGCATCGCACTTCTCAGTGAAGAAGTTGAGCTCCGGTTGTTGTGGGAACAGCACAGTTACGATTTTCTCCAAAAGCTCAGGGCACGTAGGCGACAGCATCGGCTGGCTTCTCAACCTCTTCATGACCACACCGTCGGGTCGCCCCGACGGGTCCACTTCGACTTCGTCAAGGAGCTCATTCCACGCCTGACTCTTAGTTTCCTTGATCGCCTTATTGAGTATCTGGCGTGCCTCCTTATACTTGATCTCCAGTTCTTTGCAGTTGGGCTTCTTCCGGCCTCGTTGTGCTTGCCTCCTCGCTCGAATGCATGCCTTTCGTAGGGTGGCGATGGTGTTGTTCCACCAGTACACCGATGGATGGTTGCTTGTACTACGCTTCCGGGGCATAGTTGCATCGCAGGCTTCAGTGACTCTACGCATAACTTCCCCCGCTTTCTCCGTGGCGTTGTTTCCTCGGATCGGGCGATCATCGAATATTTTACGGAGTAAGTTGGAGTCAAGAGCGTTCGACTTCCATCCAACCGCGTTGGTCTTGTTGGCTGCAGATCCAGTCTTCCGAACGGCAGATACTTCCCAAGAAATCATGTTGTGGTCACTAGCGGTGTAGATATCCATCACCTCCCAGTTGAAGCTTCCCCTAGCGAGACTGCTGCTTACGAAGGTGAGGTCTACGATTGAACTAGCTCCTCTTCTCTCGAAAGTTGGTTTTTCGCCACTATTCAGCAGAACCACGTCCAAGAAAGATATGGCCTCCAGTAGCTTTTGTCCCCTCGTGTTTGTCTCCTTGCTGCCCTAGTCGACTGCCTAGGCGTTGAAGTCCCCAGCGATTGCTATGGGGAAGTGCTGCTTCGCGTCCTCGATCAATTGATCGAGGAAATCTGTAAACTCATCGATGGATAGGCTAGGCGGAGCATAGCAGCTGTAGAAGTGAATTCCACCCAGCTTAGCTCTCACAAAGCCGCTCTGCTCAGTATTGACGCCTCTCTGGAAGGGGTATTTACCGCAGGACCAAATAACGGCCTTGGCGGTGGTGTCCGTCTCCCATGTCTGATCATGCAGATATTTCTACGGCTCCGAAATAATTACGAGATCGGGCTTCAGCTCCCGCACCGACTGTGTAAGCAGGTCGTGTGCAGCCTCGCAGTGGTTGAGGTTAAGCTGAAGTATTCTCATCATCTTAGTTTTGAGGTTTTCGCGGCCATTATTAATGACTTGGTTGGCTTCCGGATGGATGCCGCGTTGAGTTTCAGCATTGCGCCGACGTTTCGCAAACATTGCAGTCTGCATCTTCAGGGCTATGAGCTCCGATTCTGAGCTCCGATGTGTGGGGGCAGTCCTTATATACCTTCCCTTGTGGTGGTGGGAGAAGGGGAAGGGGGG